TTTTGTTGACCTTTGTCCATGGAAGGTCCCTGCAAAATTTCATTGAAATTGGTTCAGGGGTTTTGGAGAAGAAGTCGAAAATGTAAATTGTTTACGGACGCACGACGGACGACGGACGACGACGGACAAAAGGCGATCGCAATAGGTCACTTGAGACTTTGTCTCAGGTGACCTAAAAAAAATATACACCTACAAATACATTACCCCCTATGTCAAACAGTTTCTAGTTTTACCTGAAATGAAAATTATTCACGAATTTACCTCTACCTCACCTGTTTGTGCCCTGAATTACCTGTATCAAAGATATCCAAACAGTTTCACTCATTAATGCTACCATGCATGTACATCTTTATCATCTGTACGTGTATATCCTAAAGGACAGATATAGCAATCCACACAGCACAGTGAAATCAAAGAATGTCAACATTTGAAACATATTTTTATTTTTTTGCATGGAAGGTCTAATATTTTCATTGCCATAATGTATATGAGACTTCCTAACCACAACTGCAGTGTAAAATGAAATGTTATGTTTTAATTGTTACAAGACTCTTCTTTAATTTGTGTTTCCTACTGAAAAAAATTAATGTGATCTCAAATCCAGGCATGCTTTTTCGAGATTTTTGCAATTAGAATTTGAAAATGATAGTTTGAATTAAATTCTTTCAATAGGAAACAATCATTTTCAAATTCTAATTGCAAAAACCTCGAAAAAGCATGCTTGGATTTTTAGATCAGGGGAGATAACATAGTTTTACAGGCAATATGTGGAAACTTTGTCAGGCAATAATACAAGACATTTTTTGCTAACTGTACAAGTTTTCCTCATTCTTGGCCTTAACTTAAAAACCCTCAACACTCCAGGACTATAAACTATGCGCCTTTTTTATCTCGTTTTTTTTTTAATAGGATTGAAGCAGACGGGCAAAACTTAAGACGGCATGTATTAAATGTCAGGTATATTGATTTCACATTATACACTTCAGTTAAAAAACACAAAGGAATTCCTTTATTACGTAACACTTGGTAAGCATTTTCAGGCATTTCTGAACACTAATGTTTAATATTTTAAAGGTTTGAGTTGAAATCAATAAAAAATCAATTGGTAAAGACATATTTCCTGAAATTTTAATCTTTTTTTTTCTGCCAACACAACCGTCTGAAAGAAATTTTAATATACTGGTAACCTAAATGTTAATGACTTAAATCAAATTATATGTTCAAAGTAGTTAACATATATATATATTCCTTATTAAATTTGCTTAATATTAATTTCATCAATAAACTATGAAATAATAACTGCTTCAATCTTGTTTTGGTCATTAATTTAGATGACACTACTTTCCAAGGTCCATTTTCCCTTTTTTTTCTCTCTCTTCTATTAGTTTGCAAGATTCTAATAAATTTTCTGCCAAATCCGTACAATGCCAAATTTTTATTTGACAAAAGATGACAATATATACTGTAATGGTTTACAAGTCTAATTTGTTGTATCTAAAATCCCTTTATAATGCCGAAATTCTATTGTATAAATATTCATTTCAACCATATTTTATTGGCACTGAATAGTCAAAGGGATTGGGCACAAGTTCTTACAACTTACTAGACCCTCTCCCAATATATATGTATAAATATTGACTGAACAACAAGATTTCACTGAAAATGTAATATTTTCTCATAATTTATCGCTGCTGCAATTACTGTGGAACTGGCTGGTCAGTTACTGCAACAACTGTTGTTGGGGGTCAAAAGGTCGACTATTTATATAACTGGAAAATGTTGGGACAGGATGCCTTAATGCAATAATGCACAGAATATATATCTGTCTGATCGCAGTATTCCACTGTTGTTCGGATATCACACATTTCAAGCTAAACCTGAATTTATAATTAGAAACAAAATAAATCATAAAAATAACCTGCAAAATGTCAACGTTAGGTGAGATGTATAGTTCCGAGTTTAATGTCACTAACCCTTTCAACGCTGTAGACCATAATGGACTCATCCTCATAAATGCAAGGTAGAATCTACTTCAGCTACTTAGGGGTGAAAGCAAAGTACAGTGTCACCAGATTGGTTTGTCGTATATAAACGGTCACTAGAGGCATCGCCTCAAATCAGGACGTAATCATGATAAACCAGACATGGGCTTATTTGTGGTAAAACATGGAATACTCTGAATGCGAAAATTTCTACACAAAATTATTTCCATTGTAAGTGAATGTTTCTACACAAAAGTACTTGCGTAAAACATTTGCGTGCAGAAATGTTCGCATTTTGATTCGTTACGAGTGGAAATGTGTATATTGCTGGTTGATGGCATCATACAAGGTGTGTCAAAATGTTCGTGAAGCTGATGAAATAAACCCAAATTAAGCCAAAAAAATACAAAAATTAACAATGCAAAAACTTCCATATCTACAGTACGTGAACATTAACCAAAAAAACATCTACATGCAAAATATCACAGTGATATAGCGGTCATAAAGAACTTACACAAACATTCAAACCAAAATAATGTTAACATTAATTCTCCTCTATATCATAAACAACAGGTGTAGACTATCGGTAGCTTACAATCAATTCCCCCCCTACCACTTCTCCTGGATTTCACCCTATATTTATAGATATCCATTTATCAAATGTATATTGCACTGTCACATGCCCATACATGTGATGACTGAACAACACATACTAGGTCGGAAAATCTCTCCCACTGGTAGGAAGATTGAGTTTCTGGTAGAGAGATTTTGATTGCAAGCATTCTATTGTAATAATGAACAAAATTCATTACTTGTTGACGTTATTACTGCTGATCAAATAATTGCTTAACAGAAGAGAACCATCTTTATAAGCAAGCTTTTAAAAATCATGAATTTCTAACACTACAACCAGTTACAGGGATATGCTGATTCTTTAGAGGACGTTTCAGTTCCTTAAGTAAAATATAGGGAAAATCCCTACAAAAAAGGGAGGCATCACATGTATGCATGCCTTGTGGTTATTTACTTTGTGGTAAACACTACTTAGGCCTGTATATGATGTAATAACATATATTGTCTAATATAACTTTAGCTAAACGCTCAGAGAATAACAACTACATTTGGAGAATATTATTGACAAGGATTGATCAATATTTTATGTACTGGTAAACAAGATCACCCCACAAACCAGTAGACCAAGTGTCCATCCGACCAAGATATTGACAGTCCCACAAAGACCCGGCACGACAGTGGTCACAGGTGACATTGATTTCGCCCGATGACGACAATCCACTGACGACACACAAACGACAATCCTAGGGCTAATAATACACAACAGATGTTGTACATCTACCGTGGTCTTTTCAGCTCAAATCAACATCAATAGCATTAGTATATAGGATTTGTGAACAGCAGCACGGATCTACTCTACATAGTCACAGCTGTTTGCATGTGATGGATTGCCGTCAATTTATACACATTTGTCCAAATTCAAGT